AAAATAATAAAGACATAACTCATGCAAGTAAAGTAAGTCGCTTATAAAACTCAAAACTCAAAATCTCATATCTGATAAATTTCAATAATTACAGTAAAACCAAGAATAGACAACTCACGGATAATCAGAACAAGGAATTGAATAAAAGAAACAGTAGTATTTCATATAAAGAAGTTGGATAAACAAATCCATCTAAAACCTAGTTTTTCCCTTGTTTTTAATAATATCTTTGTTTCAGAATAAAATGGTATGGAGTAGCAAGTCATCATAAATGACCTTTGTAACGAATGTTCAAAAATAATCACACCAATTGTATGTCTATTCGTTCGTATTAAATACAATAAAGAACAAGTACCACATCATATTACGTAATGATATGAGTAATATCGAAACTTAAATACTATCAATTAGACTTGATAACCTCATGCAAGTGATATTTGGCCAGTGGAAGTAAGTGGGATTGGCCACCAGAAGTGGACAAACAGATACTTAAATCACTATTAAATATACGATTTTCCTTATTATCATTGATTTCTACTCTGGAATTACTAAGCGTAACTACTTGTAATTGTGTTGAATATTGTCTACCGTATACTTTGGTTTTTTTTAATTATTGGTCGTAAATCGTATGATGTGACGTAATCCAGTCTGTGTATAGAATATCGATCGGGTATCCAGTCTAGTGGTGACGCATTATAGTAACAATAAATGAGTCATAAAATTTAGAAAAACCATAGAGCCGTAATCAGACTGCGTTCAAGATCGAATCTATGGATGATAGCAATGCTACAGGTGATTGACTTCATTAAACGGCTCGTTGAACAAACAATAGTGTGATATTTTACTGCTCCATTTTTTTGTACTAACAAACTAATGTCTATTATTCCGCTAAAATTATGTACATCGTTTACAACAAATTTTTCGATAAGGCAGTTAATTTGATCATTTTAAAGAAAATACGATCAACCATTTTATGGATGGAGTTATCCAAACAACATGGATGTAGTAACGAAACCCCACATAATGTAAAATTACTTACTAAAAAGGTTGAGTATCTCTGCAAACGAGATCATCAGGATACAAGTGACTGAGGTAAGATTGACAAATTACTATGATTAGTAGTTATTAAAAATGATCCTTGTAAAAAGCAAAAAGGTAACATGACTACAACTTGAACCAGGACAGTCAAGGGAATACTAAGAAGACAAAGATCATACGGCTAGAAAATAAAGATACTAATAATGGTATAAAGAACTGCATGGACCAAATACGACGATTACCTAACTTGTCTTGTACTGCCAGGAAACATAAGAAATTGACATCATACATTAATTACTTCATTTTATATATTAACAAGTCGATCAGTCTTACTAAATGCTAAAACGAAGATTTGATTGAGGTTTTAAAAAGCATACAATGGGATCATATTCATAATATTTATGCGGACACGCATAATACGTAGTTTATCGTATATATAGTGATCCCTTGATAAATTCAGATGAAGCGACAATATTTAAATCGTTGTTCTAACAGGATTTGACAGACCAATATTTAACTCGGATTCTGGGCGATATAACCTATCACTATTAGTAACACCTGCTTCGGTTTGGGCACCTGGGCAGTATCACAGCTGTCACACAAACCGCATTAGATTTGTGTGGCGCATGTGTATCTGGTTCCCCCTTTGTACCAATATCTATGTGTTCAAATGAATAAATAATAAGAACTATTGGTAAATCTATTTCACGTTGGACGGTAGGACGTAAGTGCGTAGCCGTAAACCAGAGTTTCACACCTCTTGGTACTCACCAATGAAGTTTGACATAAACACTTGATCCAGTCGTAACTAAATTTGTATACCTGATGTATACGGATGTTCTATATATTAGGACTATATTCTCGATGTTTATCTCTCTCATTATCATTACTACTACATTATTTCAACTCCTTTACTATTTACCTAGCTAGTTTCATCTTATTACGCCAAACTGATGCAACTTAGGCTTACCCAGATTTGTGTCTAGCTCTACGTTAATAATGGCTAACTGACATATTTTTACGGGATTTGTTAAGTTATTCCTAAACAATAAAATGATTGACTGTATACCAGTCAAATGTTGTTAGAGGTATGTTACATTTGAATAGGTTGTCAGAACGCCCAACTCTGAGAAATGATAAACATTTATTCTTTGAACGATAACTCACTTTGAAACACTCAATTGTAATAGCATGCACCCTCTTGTGTCTACATAAGTTGATTAAATATTCTACTTAATACGTGACCAAAACATCATTTCCCTGAAGGTAGATAAAGAGTCATCAATCCTAAATAATGTATATGATTCAAAATGAATTGACACTAAGAACGTCAACCAACATATCAAATGATTATCTGTTGCACGATCTTATTAATTATTTTATCACTGGGATTTTTTTACACCTTTTCATGTCATCGTAACTACATTTGTATGACATGGTAGTAAATCCCAAACCAATGACCACCATATTCAATATCAAAATAATAAACCGTGAATTAGCATAACTCAGGTGAAATCATTGTCTTTATGCCTGATTCTCTGAAGTCTAGATATCAAACAGGAAATACTGTGACTTGTATAGTGAATATCGCTTTCTACCGTCTTATATACAAACGGTAAGATGTAAATCCGGAAGAAATTAAATCTACTTTGATTATGTTGGCATTCGAAGTAAGTTCTTTCCCATACTTCGACCTAAGAATACATAAATTGTACTCTTAAAATCTATTAAGAAAAAAGTAGATCAGCAAAGGAATCATTATCAGAGTTCAGAGATCGTACTAATTCTTTCTTCCTATACTATATCCTTATTGCAATCTTTCTCCTATATATTAACACCTTTGACTTAACTACTCCTATGAATCCGGTGTTCATCTTGCTGTGCTAATGAAGTATGGCAACCTGGACCGATGCATATATGTGCCTGGTCCTACGTTGTAGCTGACTGACTATCAGAGTTAAATTGCGGAGTTATAGCAAAGGCATATAAATACTAGATTAACTGTATAGAAATATGTAGATTTGTGATGATAATAATAATAAATATTATTATTATTATATGAATTTCAATTCATTTTATTACCGAATATTTAATTTACTTTAATGACCAAATCTTTAAATCAATTGCCTAACCAACAGAATTATGTAACCAGTTTACTGGTTGAAACTCAACACAATGAATATCAACACGAAGTCTACAAACTGCTTGTGGATTAGTATTTAAAGCACTTAGCTCTTAGCTAACAGGTTGCAAGTTCGAGCCCCGCTCCATATACTTCGACTTCAGAAACTGTGTTGGATGGAATATAAGTTAGAGAAAAAAATAAGAGGTCAAAATAAAAGGCAGCATCAGTTTATAAGGTTACTGACAGTTTTGCTGAATCATACTGGCTGATACAGATTACGTGGTTGAAGTCTGTACAACAACCGAGATCAGTGATTGGAATTAATTAAGATTGACAGTGTCCCCTAATCTTTGTAAGAACTTCAAAATATAAAGCCAACCATAGTTCATCTGATATTTATCTACGTAGAAGTTGGGTTTTATGGGTTGAAATGTTCCGGTTTGATAAGAAAAAGCATAAAGAGTCACTATCAAGAAGAAACGGCATGTGATCACTAAAACATGCAAAATGCTAAATTATTCTGACGAACATGAATCAATAAAGATAGATACCTGTTTAGTTTGTTCAAAGTAACCTATTAAATAAATCCCACTAGTGATAAAATAAATAAGAGACACTCTTGCACTGTACATATGTTAGAGTAAATTAGGATATGAATATACATCATTCACACACTGCAGTCTCAAGAAACCATTTCGCTGACCATTGAATAAGTTTGAGTACAGAGATTGTTAAGGGTGTGTAGGAGCATCCATAAAAAGGATTCTGACCATAAAAATGTCAACTAATCTGGACACAGAGGGACAAGTCACTACAGAGTGAATTCTCTCAGTTAAAGATGAAAATGTTGGTTATAAAGATTCAAAAGTTCTGAAATTAAATAAAAGTTGCTTATACTTCAGACATATATTAAGTTCTCAACGGTTCAGTTTCCTTATGCTCGATGGCTAATAGATTATCTATTTATTTAAACACATAGATATTGGTACGAAAGGACACTGAATACATATACACCACGTAAATATCATTCGATTTGTGTAAGGGTTGTGATACTGACCGAGTGCCCAGATCGAAGCAGGTGGTTTTCCTAGGGGGCCACACCCAGCGTCTTCGACCTAAAGGTTTGATCCACAAGACAGTGGAGCATCGTAAGGAGATTCGGTCCCATGGTAGACAGTAACCAATAATTAGTTCATACTTCATTTGTTCCCTCAGGATACTAGAGCCCATGTGCACAGTTGGTTTGGAATCAGGGTTTTCAACTCTCATAAGCGGACTCTCCATGTCCACCGACCCGGTTGAAGCACCGGACATTTGCTTTTCGTCCTCTACATTTTGTAAACAACACCCCCACCACGAGAAGGCAGTGAGTAGGACTTCCCTGGCAGTGGTTGTATGCACGTGGCCATGTGAGAGCATTTCAAGAGGGAGAGTTGACTCTCCCCACTCTCGGCAGTACCAGGGCATTTGTAAGTTTCATGATCAATTCCAAAACCATTTAAAATTAGCAGTATCGAAAAATCACAGAGCTGTATACTCATAAAGGAATTTAAAAATAACATTTTATCATAGTAATATTACAGTCGTAGAAATCATTAAAGTAGATCATCATTTAGGTAATCCGAAGTATTTCTTCTAGATATAATTAATTGATTTTTTGGGAGCCCTATTTAAGGTAAATTTATCTCTTTAACAAATGGCATAAAACTGATCATGTATTTTTAAATTATGTAATCATCCTAATACTCACACCTATAAATGAATAAAGATAAAAGTCATTTCTTTTTAAAAATAATAATAATGATAATAACATTCAATAACTGATATGGTAACTTACCTAATAGAAGTAGTTTCACATCTTTTGCAGCTTGCATTCCATCTTCTTTAAGTTTTTTATCTATATTTCGACTTTGTTCAAGAGCATCACGCTCTTCTTTAGATAGTGTACAACCCATTTTTTTTTTAATAAAAATATTAGTAGGGTATTTATTGTATAGATTTATGTTAATAATATTTAATATCCAATATAGTTTAATGTTTTAATTATTGATATAAAGTATAAAGGATAAGCTTAGGATAAAATACAATTCCTTTCACAAAAATATAAATTTTTTAAAGGAGTTGTTCAACTTCTCCTAATCTAATTTGAATATTATTGATTCCAGAATGAAATAGAATTTGTTGTGTGTTCTCCCCCCCCGCAATTGATGATAGACACTAATGTTAACAAATAAAATCTAGGCTTACTCACAAAATATTACTACTTATGGGAGAATGGTTGTTACTACTTAAACAACACACACAATACCCAATCTTAATATATCAAATATAGATTAGATATACATTCATATACATAACTAGTAGATTTTGTATGTGTGTGTAGGTACATGTGTGTGCGTATGTGTGGTGGTGTGCCCGTTCATAATATACTTCATTTCAATGGACCAGGTTTATTTATAAGGCAGAGATTCTCTAACTAAAAATAGGAAAAATCTCATAGGCTATATATATATGTATATAATAGATATGTCTATACATCTTTTTAAAATCAAAAAGGAATGTGGAAAATCCAACTATCTATCTATAATCTGATCGATATGATAAGGAACAAATACAAAAATAAATTTCTCCCTATCCCTTATGTCTACATGTGTGTTTGTGTATGTGTGTTTATTAGTAATCCTAGTTTAGTTAGAAAAAAAAAATACAAAAATAAAAACTTTATTCATATTTGATTGGTTGATTATAATATTAGGGCTATATAATTTATATACTTGATTGGAACATAACACATAGATTGTATTCTTATATCTGAAAAATTGTTGTCTATACCTTATTGAGATTTGAAATGTCTGGCCAAAATAAATTTATTCCGTGTATCATTGATTTAGTTGCTATCCTAATTTTGGCCTGAAAATAAGGATTATAATAATAATAGTAGTAGTAGTAGTAGTAATATTGGTCCTTTTATTTGTAATATTGTTCTGGCAATTTTTAATATAGGATTGATTTAAAATTGTCTTGTGGATGCGCACTGCTGAGGAGTCCCATACTAGGACGAAACGGCTGTCCAGTGCTTCCAGGTTTTCAATGGTGGTCTAGCTTCAACTGACTCATGATTTCAATCTGAAATTTCTAAAATCTTCACAAAACCCATTCTGACTCTAGAACATTCTTTATTTGTTACTCGATTAGATGGTTTTTAGATGTTTATTTAACTGTGAACATTTGATAAGCAATGGTACATATACATGACTCACATTAACTCGGCGCCCAAATATTGTGAAACTATTCGTTCAAATTTAAACGAAAGTTCTTAATTAATGGTACATATTGGTATCTATAATACATAAAAACACTACATCAATAATTCATTACATGGTACATGATCCAGTAGTCGTACGTGTTTAGTATGAATGGGATCATTGATCAGCCCCCAAATGCCCTGGTATGGCCGAGAGTGGGGAGAGTCAACTGTCCCTCTTGAAATGCTCTCACATGGCCACGTGCATATAGCCACTGCCAGGGAAGTCCTACTCACTGCCTTCTCGTGGTGGGGGTGTTGTTTATGAAATTGAGAGGATGAATAACGAATATCCAGCACTTAAACAGGGTTGGTGGATATGGAGGATCCACCTAGGGAAGTTCGAAAACCCTGATTCGAAACTAATGATGCACATGAGCTACAGTATCTTGAGGGAACAAATGGAGTATGAACCAATTATTGATGACCGGCTACCATGAGACTGCATCTCCTTACGACGATCCACTGTCTTGTGGATCAAACCTTTAGGCCGAAGGTTCGGTGTGTGGCACCCGGACAGTATCACAGTTTACACACATCAAGTGATTTGTGTGGCGTATATGTATTCGGTGCGCCTTCGTACCAATATCGATGTGTTCAAATAAAATAAATGAATCATTGATCACCGACCAACTAACGACATGATAAACGGTAGGATAAAATATATTATCAATAGAACATCTAATTGCAAAGTTCACAACCGGTACTTCAAATGTAGAGGGGTAGGTTCTTATGGAAACAAGCTATTCAATGAAGTGAAAATGATGATAAGGTGAAATGGTTATCATTTCAAGAAGTTTAAAATTGAGAGCTAACATTTGTACTCATTTCAGTTTCAGTTTGGAAAGGACAGAAGGCTAGGTGGTCTGTGATAGTCCTGGCAATGATGGTCTCTCAGTTGATCCAACTTTCTTTTGAAAGAGTCGACAGATGGAGCTTCAATCACGTGTTGAGGTAATAAATTCCACTCGTTGATGATTCGATGGGAAAGTCGATAGTTAGTTGATAAGTAATTTGTCCTGGGCTTGTGAACATTTTTGGCGTGCCCTCGTAGATTCTCTGTATTGGAAGATAAGAGAAATGAGGGCATTGTATATGGAAATTCATCGCAAAGTAGTTTGAAAACTGTAATCAAGTCACCTCTAGTTCTTCGATATGACAATGGGACTAGGTTTAGTTTAGCTAGTCGAGCATCGCACAGTAGCTTTACTATACTGATAATCAGCTTAATTGCTGTTTAATTTGAGAACTACCAGAACTATGATTTCAACAGAATAATTTGATGTCACTCTATTTCATTTGATGCATGTACACAACCTGAATGGTTTTAACATTGAAATCACGAAGGAAGTTTAAAATTCCCACATAAATGAGTTTGTGAATACATATATATGACCATAAATGGTCAGTCTGTTTTTGGCATATGTGCATCATGTGCGAATTACCTCGATATTACCATTAACTCATAAGTGTTTTAAACAGAGATGGACGATGACTAATAGTGGAATTTACGATGGGCGTTTCATCTCATTTAAGACTCATCTGTTGGATGAACCTGCTTCCCACATTTGAAAGTCACCCTATTGCACAAACCAGTGACTATCTATACTCAGTGGTCAAGTGGATAACGCTATGGGATTCGAAGTGGATGGTACTAGTTCATAGTCCCAGAGTAAACATCAACTCTAGAAACGCATGTACTAAATTCCATTGTCAGCCACCATCCATCTCTGCTTACGATATTCAATATTGTACTGATGAGGAATAGCAACTTGGACCGATGCATATATGCGCCTGGTCCTACGTTCTAGCCGATTGACTGAAAACATTCAACAAAATATAACAATCATATATCATTGCAAAAAATAGAGTTCTGGAATTTCGTTAAAGATCGTGGCAAAAATCGATAAGGGTGAAGTGGAGGAGTTACACAATGAAATGTTTGACAATTAAGAATGGGATAAATGATGCTAATCCGGCCAAAAACACACTAATAACCTTGAATAAGGTCGGATTAATAATGCAAGTAAACAAGGCTTGTACTACCATAGTAGTAAAAGGGTAAAGACTATTTCTTGTTGAGTACATAAATTGGGTTTCAGGTACTTGATAGTTATAGCTTCAGTAAATTTTAGGTTCGAGTTTCGTCGTTTATCAATCACCTTCAAAGATTTCCTAGTGTCCCTACGATTTCCTGTGATAAAAGGATGTTTAAAAATATCTCTTATTAAATACATTTATTCATCCTGAATAAATCGAAAGAATGTTTTTCTTTCTTTTGAGTTTGTTAGGTATATGTAAATTTCTACACACAGAAGATGATAAGGTAAAACAAGAATTTTTCGAAACAAGATTAAATTATTGAACTTATTGTTTCATGAGAAGCTGTCATTTTGGCGAAGTGTATAAAGATGTTTTCTATATTTCTGTGAACTTTTTCTATTAAGGCTAAATAATTTAAGGATATAACTTCTACATAAATTGGTCCACATGAATTATGATACAGATAGGCGTACATTGAATCAAATGACACTGAATACCCTACACTGACGAGTCCCAAATAGGACGAAACGCGCGTCAAACTGGATTCCACTGCTAACCACTATCTATTTTTTTTTAAAAAACTTGTGACGTAAAGCTATATTGAGGCAATCCACACAGGATTCACATATGCTAACATGAGACTGATCAAGTGCAGTCCTGTAGTGACTCACGTTTATTACGAGAACACGACTGGTTCAATAAAAACAATTATTATTATAAACAGTTGTACCAGTGTTTGTTTTAAAGTGCTTTTGTTTGACTGTGCTAATGACAGCTATATTGGGCTTCCCTTCTTGTTCACACACTTCGATTGTAATTTCGCGCGAATTCGGTTACCTTCTGTAACCAAGCTTGTATCCTGGCACGATCTCGGTATCCTTTCGATACCACGAGATCGCCAGTGAATAAATCTTGACTTGGTCCATTTTCTGCCTTCTGATATTTGGCTTCTCGGGGTTTTTATGGAGTCATTTGGAACGAGCTTCTTGGTAGCGGTGTTCATAGTCAATCTCCGACTCGACGCCACGCTACAGTCCTAAATAACAATGTGAAGATACAAGTAAAACAACACCAAGTGAATTTATACAACGTTTAGTCTAGTATTACGATATAATAACTTGGATGAATGAACACTTTTATTTTGACTAGATAATAGTGAGCCCAAGGTTGGTTATCTGAACCCAGTAATGTAATGAATGACATGGTGGTGATTGTAGATATGATTTACATACATCATGGAGAAACCATCAGTTACTGAAATTGCCTGGAATACTGTTGGCGACTAACAAAATAAGATGAGACTCACTTTTCAAATTACACTACTAATTGTTATTGAATACCACCAATGAAAACTGTCTTATTGTATTTCTATCAAATATTGATAACAATCATGAATATCTTACAGGAGGTGACAAATTAAAACAGACGTTAACTGTTATTTGTACAACTCAATCATGGACAACTAAGAACAAGGATAAATAAATAGCAGTCCAATGTTCTACACACATACAAAAAGTAAATCAACAAGATGAGAATCAGATGTATGTAAAATGACTCTAAACTGTAGTCCAATTGTTTTGGGATTATAGCTAACAGTAAAATCTAGGACGCGCGTTTCATCTTATTTAAGACCCATCAGATAGATATACTCTCATCCCAGTGTTGATGAACACTTCGGGACTGAAAATCAATGCCAATTGCTTTAATTGCCGACGTGTTATTCACTAAGCTACTTAGTCTAGATAATCATTAACTTGCGCACCACTAAATATCATGCTCGTAGTTTTGTGAGATGTGTCGACTACTTGTAAGACACCTCATTACAATACTGTATTACAACACGTGTTCAGCAATCGTTGTTAGATAGCTTATATCAGAGAAAATGAAATTATATGGGGTATTATGACAGATACGATCAATCATTATGAAGCGTAGTCAATTTTTGGAAGGTGATAATTTATACTACTCAAAGTAGTATATCGACGCTAGGAAAATTGCGCATCTGGATTCTATCACACAATCTGTCTTGTCGGTTTCCGGACTTCATTTAATTGCTGCCTCACCCGCTCTCTATGTTTTTGAACTCCACATGATCACACACCTATTCTTATATATATAGTTGTAATTAGCTGATGAGAAAGCACGAACTATAATGGATCTATGTTATTAAACAAATCAGACTGGATTAGAAAACCCATGTGTTAGTAAAACTACCAACGAGATGGTGCAAAGTGAACAGTTTTAATAAGAGAAACACTGAGTGATCTAAATGGCCTCTAGATAATCTATAGTTGCTAGCTGCGTACCAGAGAGTTGAATGATAGATCAATATCTGGACTCTAACCTTTAGTGGTCATACTTAATGTATGTATTTTGCCTTAAATTTGGCCAATTTTATGTATTATTAATCTGGATTTATAATTGTAGAACCTGATGAGAAATTATTGAAAAGAATATTCTTCGTTCATACAATTGTGTTCTTAATATAATGGGAATTTTTCAGCAATTTAGTGGGTTTGTAAAAATCTTGTAGAAAGGTGAGGTAGGATCCAATGGCTTAATACCAGGGGCATTTACCTATAGCGGCTTAGTACTGTAGGCAATACTAAGATATCATCTAGAGGTTTAAAAGCGGATACCTACTTGTCGTTGATTGGTTTAGACATGAGCCTATTACTGAGTAGTTGGATCCATTACGTGACCCATGCACTGTTAGGCAGTACAGTCACTTCTCTTAAATCTCTGTTCTTACAAGGCATGTGGTATTGTAAGTACAGGTAAGTAGGGTAGGCTCTTACGTAAATTTTTCATCCTACATCATATCAGAGATAGAAAACTTAGTTGCACTTATGGCCCTTAATCGACGACTTGAGTCACCACAAGATGCTGAGATCAGGACTGGACTTTTGGCTCGACTGGATCAAGACCCAAACGTTACACTCAGAACACTGACAGATGAGTGTGCTACAAAGCATCAGACACGACAACGAGTTGATTGAACAGGCAAATCCTAATTTAACCTGCAGTAGTGTCAATGCTATTACTAGGTTAAAAGTTCAGAAGCCGATAACAACTCGTAACAAACCAACGACTGCATGCTGGTTATGTGATGAACGGAATTATGTACGATTCTGTCGATTTAAGAAGCATAAATGTCAGGTGTGCAACAAACGTGGACATAGACTGGATTAAAGCATGCTCAATGCACGATTGCTTTGGTGCACGCTGATTGGCTAAATCTTATCTAATCAGCATCAGTCAACACATAGTAAACACTCTAGAATCTTCTCATGTAAAAACTATAAATATACTAACGTTTTCCCTATTGGGCTACTGACTTGCTTCTTACTTCCATCTAACCTTGTTATTTGGAATATAATCTCTTTCCTGTTCAACCGTGTTCTGATTTGGGGACTTGTCGAGTGAATCGGTGTCCAAGAATACTAAGCAATAGCTGGGTCATAACCGTAAGAAAGAGATTATAACAAAAACAGAAGCTCAACAATTTTTTTCTGAAAAGACGTTAAATAACAAAACTAATGCATACAATTTCAATGAAACTATAAAAATGAAATATAAAAAAATGGGCTAGTAAAATAATTTATAAATCAGGCGTTGATATAAAGTAAGTTTTTTGTTTCCATCGTCGCGATCACAAAGAATTCTTCTACATTCCATCAGATCAGCTCCGGTCGCAGCTATAACTGAACTTCCTGGTACAGTGCACCCATCACGAAGAACGGAAGGAGGTCGATAGATATCTCGATAATGGTTATTAAAAATACGAGACAAACTTTGACATTCTTCTTCCCAAAATTTAGCATCTATTTCTTGCATTGGTTTAGAAAGGAATTCAGTAGCACGACGTTTGATTTCATCTTTTAGAGTCACTTTTCTACCACAAGTATCACAAGGCCAATGATCAGCTATCTCTTGAAGTTTTGTAAAATATTCCAATGGTGTTGGTGAACTTTCATAGTGACGATTTAGAGATACACAGGTGACTGACTGGAACCTTTGGTAAGCTGTAAGGGCGAATCGATAGTTAATCAGAGACATTATTTCTCAGGTGTAAATCAACTAAAGATAAAAAATAACAATGGTCAAGTATAAATAGTATTTTAAAAGATCAGGGTAATATAAAGTGATGATTTAAAGGATGTTAGACTACTGTTAGGGAAATTTTTCACTTTTTTTGCATTTATATTTTAGTCACGAAAAAACTGTATTAGGTCATTGATCTTCGAAATGGTTTACTGTTGGTCAATTGAATTTAAATAAAGCGTACAATAGCTTTTAAGGAAAATGGTAACATAAGAGCTGACTCTTGAGATGGAAACTACTTATCACAATTGCTTTTAACTCAATTCTATTTCCAGTCATCAACAACATGGAGCCTGGAACACATGCACTATTATTATTTGAACACATAGATATTGGTACAAGGAGGCACCAAATACATATGCGCCACACAAATCTCACTTGATCTGTTTGAGGGCTGTGATACTGCACAAGTGCCCAAACCGAAGCAGGTAGTCTTCTTAGGGGGCCACACCCCGAGCCTTCGGCCTAAAGGTCTGATCCACAAGGCAGTGGAGCATCGTAAGGAGATTCAGCTCCATGGTAGCCGTTGATTAACAATTGGCTCATACTCCATTTGTTCCCTCAGGATACTGGAGTCCATGTGCACCATTGGTTTGGAATCATGGTTTTCCAACCCCCCTAGGCGAATGGCGAAAACAATCGAAATAACGTTGTAACAATGACATAGAGTAAAATTAAATACTGAGGATGTGTTTCGAAAAGATAAAGTGGAAAGTTCTGTATGAAAGAATTTTGTAATTCACGATTTAGAGAAAAATAAAGAATGAACGAATCTGCACTATTGTGAATGATCATGAATAAAGTCACCCGAAATCTCCAACCACTGATCACGCGAGCCCGAACTAGATAGTTTGCAAACACGGCTCAGGTAAACAATCAATGGTTTCATGAACAGATGTCATTTCTTAGTTTTGCCGTTCCAGGCTCTTTGCTAACCCAACCTTACTACAGCAAACACTGCTTGTCGAGGTAGGTAGGAGTTGGGCATACGTATGCGGGTCAAAATAATATAAACAAGCGTAAAAATGAATTGCTTTAAAGTTTGGTGACGTGCTATGGAGCAATTAATTTGTTGTCAAAAGAAATTTCCCCTCGAATAAAGAAGTTTCATTACCCTATGAACTTAAGAATTACCAATGTCAAGGAGGAAGGACGTGACGGAACAATGGACGAGATGTAACGCAATATGCTGAAAGTCCAAGGATTGAGTGAAACAATTAATCTAATTCTATTACAACGAACTATAAATCAGTACTTTTTTGGGTTTTCGTGCTTTAGATATTTTATCTATAAACCAATAGGCTAATTTTATTTTGAGGAGTGAACTCATTAACCCTTTTGACCACTAGCTTACAACATTAGGACGTTAATCAAGACCAACAGTACTTATTTTAGAAACACGATTGTTGTATATGATTCCATTCTTTTCAGGAGGCAAAGTGTATTTGAGAAGTCACATGCGAGTGACGACCAAATCTGTGCAAGTAACTGACTTACTCAGAAGACTTTTCTACTAGTCCAGTTCACCGTCGCATACTACTCATGAAGTTGAGAGGGCTCAAAGTTTCTATTATTGGGTTTATTTTATGCTATCAACAGAAACATATGTATAAGTAAAGCTGAACTATAAGGCCAGGCTGGTAGAATCTGACAGTCCAACTGCCCTATTTTAGGGAAGCCGTTATAGAAAAGTTTGGAGAAATGGCACAAAACCCCAGAACATCCCCAGAATCTTATAACACTTTGAGGAAGTCTGTGTATACTGAAAAATCCAAAATTTCCCCAAAATAGGGAGATTGGGAGACTTTAACCAGTGGAGGATGCAGCAAGTACGAATGAGGGATCTATGACCTCGTAATTAGGATTTAAGTTAAGGATGAGTAGTTTAACGTTATGAGGATGCATAGTTTAGAATTCAAAGTCAGAACTAGGATGTAGAGCATAAATATTGAGACTGCAGCCTATACCCGAGCTCCCAATTTCGGAAAAAACTTGAACCACTTTGAGGAAATGGCACCAAAACCCTAAAATTTCACTTAAATTCCCCAGCATCTTATTACACCTTGGGGAAATCGGCATGTATTTATTAAAACCCCAAAGTTTGGGGTATATTTCGCGTTTTCTCCGAAAATTCTGCGCTTTTCACTGATATTTCCCCAGAGTCGTATCACAGTTTTGAAAAATTTGCCCATACTTATTAAGTAAACCGCAGTTACGAACAGTAAACAAAGTGCCAAAGCAATCTAACAGCACTCAAGAACACCGTATACCCCTGACAGCCAAAGTAACTTAACGACAATCAATGTATCGTGTGCACAGCATGGAGTTAGATATATATATATCTAACTACATACTATACATTCTGATTTTAACCAAACTATAAACCCCACAACCTACCCAATCTCACTATCTCAGGGAATTTTGGGGTTTTCTACTCTAAATATGGTAGTTTTTCTCAAATTTGAGTTTGGGGAAAAACCTCAATGTTATAAGATTCTGGGGAAAACCCGAAATTTCCCCAAAACTTTGGAGGTTTTCTACAGACCTGGGGAAATTTAGGGGTTTTATGCCATTTACCTGAAGTTTTCTATAGCTGTCTCCTCAAAATCTACCCAAACAGGACAGAAATCCCCCCAAGACTTTGGGCGAGATCGGGTACCAGTAGCATCTGCATCACTGTGCAAGGGCATTCAGTCATTGGTAAGTTTGAGTCTAGATTGAAGGTACATTGTGTACTGGGGCAGTGTGTGAATCTAGCAAAAAAGAAAAGCAGTGGCTCGGATAGCAGACAGAGTGCACTTGAAATTAATAATAAAAGAGATTTATAACCACTAAAGACAATACAACCGTTAGATTAAGAAAAGCTAGTCATTGAAAAGAATTGATGGGGAAAGTTTACCAACGAGTTACAACGCATTCATTTGATAAGTACGCTATAAATTTTTAATCAGTTTCAGTTTCAGTTTGGGAAGGACAGGAAGCTCGATGGCCTATGTTAGTCCTGGCAATGGTGGTCTCTCAGTTGATCCAACTTTCTTTTGAAAGAGTCGACGGATGGAGCCTCAACCACGTGCTGAGATGGTGAATTCCACTCGTTGATGATTCGATGGGAAAGTCGATAGTCAGCTGACAAGTAATTTGTTCTCGGCTTGTGAACTTTTTTGGAGTGTCCTCGTAGATTCTCTGTTTTGGAAGACAAGAAAAATGAGGGCATGTTAGGTGCAAATTTATCACTAAACAATTTGTAGACTGTAATCCAGTCGCCTCTAGTTCTGCGATATGACAACGGGAAAAGGTTCAGCTTGGTCAGTTGAGATTCATACGGAAGCTTCGCTATTCCGGGGTCCAGCTTAGTCGCCGTTCTCTGAACCTTTTCCAGAAGCTCACTGCCCTTTTTTAAGCAGGGGCTAGCAGCTTGTATGCAGTACTCAAGTTTCGGACGAACGAACAATGTATACAAAGTCAAAAACATTTTAGCGTCGGCATGACTAAAAGCTTTACGTATTGACCATAAGGTTCTAAAACCTTTGGCGGTTATTGCACGGCAGTGTGCGGTAGTCTTTGAGTCTTGACTAACGATAACTCCTAAGTCATGATATGTCTGGACGACAGGTAGCTCAGTGTTATTCATCGTGAATGTATCTGTACCTTGATGACCGATATGCATCACAACACACATGGAAGTATTTATCGGCAACTGCCGGGTTTGAGACCATTCAGATAATTTCTTCAGGTCGGTTTGGAGTTCTTAGCTATCACCCTCACACTGTATCGTTCTTCATATCTTGACATCGTCAGCATATAGCCATACCGATGATGATAGGAGACAAGGAAGGTCATTTACATACAAGAGAAATAGCATTGGCCCCAAAACTGTACCCTGGGGCACTCCACTAAGCACAGTTTCTCAGCTAGATAACTTTGAGTTCACCCTTACTCTTTGTTGACGCCCAACTAGGAAGTGTTTTATCCACATCAATAAATTGCCTCCAATCCCGACTTTTCTTAACTTATATAACAGCCGGTTGTGCGGAACTTTGTCAAAAGCTTTACTGAAATCAATGAAGGCTATGTCTATAGGTAGCTTTTGGTCCTTAAGAGCGCACCAGTTTTCACGAGCCACTAATAAGTTAGTGAGACAAGAATAACCTATTCATAAGCCGTGCTGCTTCTCCGAGAGGATCCGGTTTTTATCGAGATACTTAAACAACTCCTTCCGAATAATATTTTCCAAGATTTTAACAATCACACTAGTTAGGCTAACGGGACGGTAATTCTCAGGTTTATGTTTCGTACCTGTTTTGAAGACAGGACTTACTATGGCGTTTTTCCAGTCTTTGGGTAAACGACCCTGCGTAACGGATAGATTTCAGATTGTGATTAGATTTGTGTACTGATGACAAAAAGTCTACGGCTTATGTTAATCCTGTCCTAGCGTGTTTCTGTGAGTGGCTAGTTTTCTATTGAATGAGTCAACTGAAGGAATGGTCACCTCTGCTTTGTGTTATTTGTCTGCCTGCTTGAATATCTGGGCTACCTGTTCTTACGATTTATATATTTCATCAAGTTAACTGTTTCATTGTTTGTTTTAGCACATAATTATGTCTGTTGTGCGTACAATCTATTCAGGCGCGTTTATGAAAAGTTTACAACCTTTCGTTATACGGGATACAAAAAGGTACAATCAGCGACATCATGGTGGCTGGTAATATGCATTGAAACGAATGAACATTAATAAAATGTGGATTACCGAACTCCTAACATGTAACTAGTCATCATTCAAAATCTATCGTCTTAATCGATCAAGGTATAAGAAAAGGAAACTTGTTGAAATACTTTGTGCTGAGAATTCTATGTTGTACCGAAAATATAATGTTGAATAAAGCTTCTAATAATAATAATAATACTAATAATAACTCCAGACGTAGACGATTTGATCTCGGTTTTTGAACTTTCTTCGAATGTCCTCTGAAATGATCAGTCCTGGACGGAAGTAAAAGATAAGACATGTTAATACCAAGGTCATCGTTCAGTATACGATTAGCCAATATTAGATCACCCCTTACTCTGCGGTAAGATAACGGAAATAAGTTAAGATGTCTCAGTTTGTCATCATAAGATAGGTCAGATAGACCTTGTCTCATCTTAGTGCCTCGTCGTTGGTCTCTTTCCAGCATCTGTGCTTCATACTTGAAACAAAGACTCGCTGCTTGAATCCCATATTCTAAATGTGGTCACACATAAATCGAGTATAATAGCCTAGACATTTCATCATCTAAATACTGGAAAGACCTACGAATAGACCATAATACCCTATAGCCTTTCGCAGCAGCAGCCTTACAGTGACTAGTCGTTTTGAGATCACTGCTTAATGTGACTCCTAAATCTTTATAGTTTCTTATTTCGGGTAGCACGAATCCACCTATTATGTAGTGATACGATTCATCATAGTTGTTTATTTGCATCACTACACTCTTATCAGGATTTACTTCTAGTGACCACCTGTCCAACCATGCCACTAATGAGCTAGTATCATTCCGTAATACTATTCTGTCCGATATACTGTGTATGGGTCTCCAAATCGTTATGTCATCAGCGAAGAGTAGAACGGATGATTTTGCTATAGTTGATAATTCATTTACATAAAGTAAAAAGAGAAGAGGACCGAGTATCGTACCTTGGGGAACTGCACTTTTTACAGGTGCCCACGAGGAGAGAGCCCATTTACCCTTACTCTTTGTCTCCTGTCATGCAGAAAATTGCTTATCCAACCTACGACTGTATAATGGATTCCAAAACGTTCCAGTTTGAATTTAAAACCAGAGTGGGAGACTTTATTGAAGGCCTTAATTAGATCTATGAAGATCACATCCACAGAAATATTCTGATCTTTTGCAGCAGCCCAATCTTCTCTTGTTATGATAAGATTTATCAAGCATGATAGGCCTCTCCGAAAACCATGTTGTTCCTTGGAGAAAAGATTATGCCCTTCAACATAGTTTATAACAGATATCCGAGTTATTTTTTCCTTCAGTTTTACAACTGCACTAGTTAAGCTAACGGTCTATAGTTACTAACTAAATCCATACCCCCAGCCTTATACACCGGACTTATTATGGCGTCTTTCCAGTCTCTAGGAAGTCTGAACTGTCTCAGAGACATGTCGAATAGTATCGCTAATGGTTCAGCAATTACATCTGATAGGGTTTTCATAATCCTAGGATGAATATCATCAGGGCCACTGGGCTTATCAGGTTTGAGATTCTGAAGTATCCTTAAAACAGTAACTTTTTCTATGACTACAGGGTCCATCACTGAACGGCCGCGATCACACTGAATCGTTGGTCGTTCCTCATTGCCGATAGAAAACACTTTACTGAAATATTCCGATAAAGCTTCAACTTTTTCTGTATCATTTTCTGCCAAGACTAACAGATTTACTCGTATCAAAAGTGGTGGAATTCCATCACTTCTCTGAGTTCGCCTTTTTAAATACGAGAATCACCGTTTCGGACTATATCTAGAATCCCTAACTTATTGTTTTTCATATGATAGTCTAGTTTTACTTATTAACGCTTTACAAGCATTCTTAGTCTTACAATAACTGGATCTGTACTGTTCTAAGCCAGTAGAGATGATCATGTTCTAGTACTTCTTCCTTTTTTCTAAGAAGTTTCCTGACTGTTTTAGTTACCCATGGTGGACTTTTATTCGGTTTTCTCGGTACCATGTATGGTATGAACGAGGATGCAACTAAACTAAACTTACCTTTAGATACAGACCATGCTTCTTCAACTGATAACCTAGTATCTACAAACCAATCTGTCTTAGCAGCGCATTCCTGAATGGCTGATATGTCAGCTTTTCATACGTTTGGGCGGGGTGTAACCTGATCGTATAACATGTCCCTAGTTCTAAACATGAATGACAAAACAGCGTGATCGCTGTTCACTAATTGCGGAAGAATATTTAGATCGACAGTATCCTCAGTATCATGAGTGATTACCAAGTTTGTTCTTATTTAATTCGGTCAAGCCTTTTTTTAAACTTATTTAGAGGACAGAGTCATCCGTACTATAACAACTTATTGTGCCTTTATTATTGTTGTGCTTGTATGAAGTATGTATGCTTGAACATTGCTTACCGTATACGCAGCTAACTTTATCATTAGCCACTTAACTGATTCGATGATCCATTCATTTCCCTATATATATATATATATATATAAATTTAAACTTACACTCTCTACTCTTTTGATTCGCTGACTCACTCAATTACCTCTCTGCTTTGTGGTCTGATTTATCTGCTAAAAATACTGTAGTCGCTGCTTCTCTTTACCTTCTGATTTCAAACACCGTTGAGGATTATATGATAACGGTTACGAGAGTGATTGGTCAACAAAGCACAGCCACTACAGGGTAACAGGTTCCAGGAATTGTGGAAACTCGCGTGCCACGTTTATTTCGTTCGTTATTGACCTTGTACTCGCCTGCTATATCCTCCGAATTGCCCTGACCTGATGTAGAGTAAAAGGGAGGACTTGTTGGGACCAAAATTACTTCTTAGTATTCTAGACATTTATATCCCCAAAGTGAATGTATACACACTTGGCCACGATGGTAGGCGTTAGTCACTCTTTAGACCAGCTAATCGCTTGTTATTTTTTGCCAGACTTTTACATAATCAGCGTTAATATGCATCGAGAACTCAACCATACGTGCGTGTTCATTTACATACAGGATAAAAATTAAAAAAACTAAGACAGAGCGTTGTAATACTCCACAACTTACTAATTTCCACTTGTAACATATTCTTATTTTCCGCCCGCAACCTACAAAAAAACCCTTGACCTTGTTAAGAGGAGGTCTGGTCAGGTACTTACGCCTGTTACACCTTGTGG